ATGTTCCCACACAGATACTTATTTCTCTTTGAAGGAGTTAATTGACAGCTTCAGCCTTTTTTTGTTGGGCAGGGGGCACATTTTCATGGATATGTTGCCTGGGCCAAAAAATTCAAATGTATATTCCTGCTTGTTAGCTCTTCAATTTTCAACCACCATCCGCTAGTGTGCTTCGCACTTTAAGTTGAATAGCCTGCTTGTGTCCACATCATCTATACCTTATATTTTATCATTTCAAAGATCTCAATTATTTTCCCCTTCAGTTGTTTTTCACAGAGGATACATAACTTTCAGCTTTAAGTCTCTCAGTGATTCACTCTTGCTGGTCTCCCTGGGCTCTCTTCAAAACATTTGAAGATCTGTTGGGCAAATGTATACACAGGAGCCCAAATGTGGTCTCACCCACCATATGTACAAATTTAGAATACCTTCTCTTGACTTAGTCAATTACTCACAGGATGTAACCTAGCAGCTTTGTTGACAACAGCTTCACATTGACTGGAATCTTTCAGTGAATCGTGAATTACAACAACTTGTATTTATAGAACATCTTGGAGTGCTTAAGAGTGGTGGAGCTTGACACCGAGTCAGGGGGAGAGGGGAGGAATAACAGCAACAACAAGATTACATTTATATAGCGCCTTTCACATTAGGAGGACACCCCAAGGTGCTGGAGTGTCAGGAATTTGGACTAATGCTCAAATTGCATCCAATTACTTTTTGTTTTCTTCTAATGGCTACCCCTCATGTTATACATACATTTAAATATATTGGGAGGATGTCTCAAAGCACTCTGCACAGCTCGTTGTGCACCAGTGTGTTATATGGAGTACAGTAATTAAACACTTCATAATATTTAGCTATGTTGTAACTTAATTTGGCAAATTTTGTGCAGAGTTCTAAACCAGTTTACAGATCCATTCAGAATGAGCAAACTGATATTAACACATATCAAATGCAAATTATTTAAAAATCAATAGGCCATTGGAAGAAAATTTGACTTGCATATTGCTTTGCTGAAATGATACAAAATCATTTATTCTGAATAGAATAATAGTGGCTTTAAGGGAAAGACTTGGCAGGAACCAAACCTACTAGTAAGTTCTAACAAGATTTGTTTTTCCCTTCAACAGGACTCAAAGTATCCTGTTATGATGGAGTACTTTAGTTTAATATTATTCAGCAACATTGTCACTTCAGTGTTGCAATGTTAGTGCAGAGTTGCTAGCAAGGTTACAAATCTATTCAGGATGATCAGACTGTTATTAAACTGTTGTTGCAATAACTGTTAAATGTTACAAACTTGCAATCAGTAATATAACACTAATTCCTAACCAAAATATGTTACCACAATGTAATCGTTGTTAATAAACGATCTCAAAGAAGAGAAGAGGAGCGAAGGGCACTGTATAGTCATTCTTGTCTCTCTTCATGAACAGCAAAGCCTCCTTCCAGGCTCCGAGCTCCTGGGCAAGCAGTGGAGGGGTTTCCTTCAACCCAAGACCAAGTATTTATCATCAAGAAAGGGAACATTCTGGCCTCTCCTAACCTGTTTTACTGAGCACCTGGGGACAGAGTCAGCTTCACCATGGGTATTGCCAAAACACCTCACACAAGGACCCGAATTAAGCAGTTAGTGTTGTTGTTGAGTAAGCCTGGGACATATGGAATTGGAAATAACTCAAGCTCTGCACCTCCAGCTGGTGAAACTGTTGCTCAATTGGCAGGAATGTCTGTGTCAATGGCGACCTATGTATTTTTTATCAAGTTAAACAGCATATTCCATTCTAGATATTGGAAAATTTCCACGGGTAGGTGCCATGCACATGTGGAACCCTCAGTGTGGTTTGGATACTCTTAAACATGGAGATGCGTTTCTGGTGGACAAATAAAAAGTCCCAAGTATGAGCCAGTCAAGCTTGTCAATCATATGCAATGCCTTGGAGTACTACAGACCTACCCTTGCCTTAAATTTCTCAGCATAGCCCAGGTGATTACTAGATTCTTCTAGCTCCTGTAGCTCAGTGGTTAGAGCACTCGCTTTGCAAGCGAGAAACCTGAGTTCAATTCCAGGCAGAGGGCGAAACCTTGGGCAAGTTTCCTTACTCCACACAGAGCCTAATAATAATCCCTCCAAATCCAAAAACAATAATAAATTGGTCAGTTTCAATCTACGACTGTTTGTCGGACATTGCTGTGCGCAATTGGCTGCCGCGTTCGCCCACAAATATACAGTCAATTCACTTTACAGTGTGTTCTGTGAAGCGCTTTGGGACGTCCTCCCGACGTGAAAAGCGCTATATCAAATGCAAGGATTATTATTATTATTATTCTCTCGCATCTCTGTATTGCTGACCCCAGAAAAATCCACTTACCTCCACCAAGGAAGAGAGTTACCAGCTGGCGGCCAACTAAATATTTTTGGAAAAAAAACTGTTCATCAAAGTGAGTTATTAATACCGTGATGTGGAGGGAATGTTTATTCAGCCCATCAATAGTT